CACTGTTCAAACTTGAGCAAAATTCAAAACGCTTATGATTCATTTACTATCAGACCGTTCGTTTTATATGGTCTTTTCAAAATCACAAATAAACTGTCTATATAAATATATGACCAAGGCTTAAACCGAGGCATGGCGAAAAGTCCTGATAAAAATGGTCCTCTGTCAAGCAAAGGCAGGTCGCATTACATAGCGGACTATTTCAGTGGGGAGAACAGAAGGAAAGCCAGTCAGCTAAATGTAACGGGTTGTAGTTTGCTTCAAACCCAAGAATTCAAGTGCGTTGAATTCATCCTTTGAAACAATGAACAAAGTCACCGTGAATTAAGAAGTCTGCAAAAAAACATGATTCGAATGAAGAGAGGTGAGCGGTGTTTTGTATGCGCATTTCCATCAAGCTAAAATGAGAGGTCATGGAACGATCGTAGAACCGGTACGTCTGTATGAAGCAGAATGTTTGGCTACCTTGAAGAGAAACGAGCCACAAATGAACTCCGTCGAAATCTGAATGCTCAGACGGATTTAGGTGTCAGCGAAAAGGACAAAATCCACGATGCCTTCATAAAAGGCTCTCTAGGTGTTGTACCAATTACAAAAAAAGCTGAAAGCAAGCTCCGTTTGTTCAGCCATATGAAAAGAAGATCTCACGAATATGTTGGAAATATGGTGCAAGCTCTGATGGTTTCAGAGAAGATGAAAACAACGGTAGTTTGATGTCGTAAAGAACGATATGGAATTGCGAGGAGTGACCGAAGATTTGACCAAAGACGGAAATACGAACAAAAATCCGGAAGCAGATGATTCAAACAGCAGATCGACGTTCAAGCGAATAGGGAGAGAGCAGCTAGATTTAAACAGGCAGATTACCTTGGCTTCTTATTCTTGAAGTCTGCAAGAAATCTTGGCTGGAAATGGAAAAACATACACGTACTCCCGTCTAGTCAGACCGGATTTTAATACGTTTATCATTTCTTCTCTATTTCTATGATTTGTCTTCCTTCAAACCGTTCATTTCATACAGTCTTTTCCAAATTGCAAATAATGAGCACGCAGTACATAATGATATAGCAGTGGTAATCGGGATTTAAACAGATAAATTGCACCAGCTTCTTATACCTTCATAAGCCTCCAGTAAAGTCGAATAACAACGATCACAATCAGGATTCATTTTTCCGCGCTGCTGCCAGGCCGCTCTCATTTCCTTCAGATTTACGAGTAATTTCTTACGTTGATTTAGTCAATTTTCTTATGAAACGAACACACGAACTTCGACTGAACAGTCTTTAACAGAGCTGCTTACATCGCACACTAACGACTATGCTCTAAATGACATATCGGAGATATGTCTGAAGTTATAGAAATATATGCAATTACGGTTGGGTAATCTACAGAGAAGCAATTAAGCATCACAGACTTCTCAGTTGCGTAAATGTGGACCAAATTATATGCGGCGAAAAATATATATGGTATCCAGCATATACGGTAGTGGAAGTAGCACCCTGGAGCCTATGCCGATTCG